GGTTGCTTCTCGCAACATTCGATCGGAACGTCGAAATAAAGCGGCCGCCATGCCGCATCCGGAATATACCAACAGAGATCACAGAAAGAACAGAGCACGGTTGCAAAGCATTACCTAAGTACAGACGCTCCTCCTCTTCCTTGCTTTACGGGCAAGGCGAAGGCCTTCGAGGCCCGGACCGGCGGGCTTGCGACAGTAGGAGAGATTCTTCGGCCCCGCCCCCCCCCGCAGCGACAGGGAGGCGTGGTACGCGCCAAAATGGCGGCCTCCATGTTCCAGCGAGGGTTGCTGTGGAGCAGGGCTGGAGTTAGTCGCTGGAGAGCGGTGGGTGAGTAGATTTTGTGGGCGTGGGAGAAAGTTTTGCTTGCAACCGTGCTCTGTTCCTGAGAGTTTTCCAGCGTGGTCCTTTTCTCTTTCGCTGAAGCTTAAGCAGCGGGCTGTCCTGGGTTGCAATCATGCCCACAAAGGTCCCTACCAAAATGGCTTGGATTTATTTGGGGAGATAAAAGTAGGTTTTGGTATATTTTAGTAACAGCTTAATGGGGCAGACCAATTAGGATATGTTGAGTGAGGTTGCTTAATGAAATAATAATAAAAAAATACGGCAAGTCTTTTTGCAGCTCTTTTGTATTTAATTTGGGAGTAAGCAGCATTACGTGGAGTTGGAGTGGTTTAGCAGTGCTCACTTCTGAATAAGCATAAGATGGTCCTGTACAGTACTTCAGAATGTGTTATGCCTTTTCAGTCATCTCTGTGGACCGCATGGATGTGACATGTTCATCAGCCACATATTATTGGTCTTTCCTTAGTCTAATAATATTGTTTTAGTATTTAACTTACAGTCAGTGGCTGAAATCTTCCTGTTTAGTGTACTAAGTCTCATCACTCTTGTAGGCATCCTTCCGTCTCAAGAGAGTATGGTAACGTGCTCTGAACACGTCTTGGAACAGCATCTAGTGTGGCTGAGAAGGCCCATTCAAGAGTGATAATCCCTTCCACACTGAAAACTAAGTCTCAGTAGAGTGAGGAGTTGGTGAATCAACTTCTCTATAAGTTCTGTTGGTCTATTTTAGTTGCGTGTAAAGTAAGCTACAACTAGAGAAGGCCTATTTGCTCAAAGGAATTTATAGAGGAGATGGCTCACCACATCCCTACAGATTTAGCGAGTCTAGTTTACTGCCACTTACCATACTAAGCAATGAAGTTTTTAGCTAATTAATCACTTGCTTTAGAATAGACTCCTTGGTTTTTGAATTACACTTTTTGTTCTAATAGGATGTAACAGCTTTCTTACACAAACCTTTTTATGTTCTCTTCTGCTGTGAGGGATGTGGTGGCGCTGCGGGCTAAACCGCAAAAGCCTTTGGGAGCTGCAGGGTCAGAAGACGAGCAGTTGTAAGATCAAACGCACGTGACGGAGTGAGCTCCCATCGGTTTGTCCCAGCTCCTCGCCAACCTAGCAGTTCGAAAGCATGTAAGTGCGAGTGGATAAATAGGTACCATCTTGATGGGAAGGTAAACAGCGTTCCGAATCTAAGTCGCGCTGGCCACGTGACAACAGAAACTGTCTTCGGACAAACGCTGGCTCCACGGCTTGGAAACGCCCCCTAGAGTCGAACACGACTGACTAAAATGTCAAGGGGAACCTTTACCTTTACTGCTGTGAGCCAAAGGATTTAACTAAAGTCCTTTGCTTCTAGACAAATGGCTTCTTACCTTACAAATTAAGTCACTGCTAGGTTTTGTCTTTTCTTCTTTTCTTTATCTTGCTAAGAAAATTTAGGCATCCTTTAGTCTCGAAAGACCATGGTAACACACTCTGTATGAGTGTCCTCTCCAGAGCACGAAGCCTGGGTAAAATAATATGGAGGATAGGCTGTTACCCAAGCAGCAAATCCCCCTCTCCACATCGCTGGAATAGTCCAATGGAAAGTCAAGAACCAATACAGCTGGTTCCAGCAATGTTGCACAAGTTGCCAGAATGACACGAACTGCCTCCGGGTTAGGTGGGGCTCATCAGCCTTGGAAGGCAGCCCATCTAGGAGAAGTAAAACTCAGATTTCAAACCTCCACTGCCTTGTGACTATATCCACTGATGGAAAAGGCTTCAGGAGTCCACCTCGAGGCAAAATCCAGAGCTGGAGGCAGTTTGTATCATTCTGGCAGCTCCTGCGACGTCACTGGAACCAGTTGTATTGGCTCTTGCCTTTCCACTGGACTATTTCAGCGACATGGAGAGGGGGGATTTGCAGCTTGGGTAACAGCTAAGAAAATAACCCAAGAAGAAATAGGGGACATGCAGACTATGCCTGTAAGACTGTAAAGTTAGGAGTGCCAATAAAATTTTGTGGTTGAGAAGGTTGTTACTGACATGATTATCATGGGTAGAGATGTGAAGCCTCTGGGGGGAAAATGTGCAAAACCTGAGAATTTTTGGAAATGTCAGAAAAAATGATCCACTGTTTTCTTGTTTGGAATGAGTGGAGTGTGTGCTTTGTTTTGTTTTTATAAGAAAGGCTTGAACTACTCTAAATGCCATGAATTCCATAGCAAAAAGATGTATATGTAATAATATAGAATTAGAGAATGATAGTTTCTGTGTGCACTGTCGAACTAAACAACACTAAACTGCAAAGTGTGTTTTTATACCTAGTAGATGCTGCTCTTTTCATGAGACTAGCATGCTTTCCTGGCTTATGGATTGTTGCTGGTTTTGGTGAATTTAGTTCAAGTCTGGTAGAAACAAGCACAGTAAAGCACACCTGTTTTAATTAATTTTTAATGAATTTTTAAAATTTTGTTTAGCATGTAAACTTAGAATCATAGAATAATGGAGGTGGAAGGCCATTGAGTTAAGACCCCTACTCAATGCAGGAATCCAGATCAAAGCAGATTTGCAGAAACTTATTTCTGTTTTTCCTACTTTTCTGATTTCAGACATGTCTGTAGGTAGCATAGTTGCAGCAGTTTGCAGATCACTGCTTAGTATGAAGTATGTATTGTTTTCCCCAAATTAAGGCTTTAGTGTTTCCAGATTTGATGGTTGTGTTAACTGGTACAATTTTATGAAGCATTTTATGTTGCTAAAGCGTGGTTTAGGCTTGATGTGAAAGTAAGTATTACATACATTTTAGTTTTAGATTTCCATTTTGTGTATTAAGGAAAATCATATATTTCCCCCATGGCTTGAAAAGTCCTGGGAATTTTATGTCTCTAATCCAAGGAGGGTGAAGGATGTACAACTAATTATTGTTGCTGGACTGTAATTCCCATTAGACCTACCGTTTATAATCAGTGGTGAGGCACGGCAGGAGTTGCAGTTAACAATATGTGGATGGCCACCTGCTTCTCTGCCCCATTATTCATAGATAACAATGAAAACTAAGGACTGATATACAGTATATCACAGAAGTGAATACTGTACACGCTCTCATATTTCATAAATATTTTAGTATCTTCTCATGTGACAACACTGAAGAAATGACACTTGGCTACAATGTAAAGCAGTGAGTATACAGCTTGTGTAATTAAATATGCTGTCCCCTCAAAATAACGCAACACACAGCCATTCATGCTTAAACTGCTGGCAATAAAAGTGAGTACAGCTCTAAGTGACAATGTCCAAATTGGGCACAAAGTGTCAATATTTTGTGTGGCCACCATTATTTTCCAGTACTGCTTAACCCTCTTGGGCATAGAGTTCACCAGAGCTTCACAGATTGCTACCGGAGTCCTCCATGATAACATCATAGAGCTAGTGGAAGTTAGAGACCTGCACACCTCCCCCCGCCCCCAGTTTCAGGATGCCCCATAAATGCTCAGTAGGGTTTAGGTCTAGAGACATGCTTGACCAGTCCATCACCTTTACCCTCAGCCTCTTTAGCAAGGCAGTGGTCATTTTGGAGCTGTGTTTGGGGTTGTTATCATGTTGGAATACTGCCCTGTGGCCCAATCTCTGAAAGGAGGGAATCATGCTCTGCTTCAGTATGTCACAGTAAATGTTGGCGTTCATGGTTCCCTCAATGAACTGTAGCTCCCCAATGCCAGCATCACTCATGCAGCCCCAGACATGACACTCCCACCACCATGCGATAGGCATGACACACTTGTCTTTGTACTCCTCACCTGCCCAAACAGGTGTCAAGCAAAAAGCAGAACAGAAAAATCCTGCTGCCTCCGTTGGAGTGTGTTGGAGAATCAGAACCACATGGACCTACAGTATTTAGAAGCAAATCTCAGTCCACTCCTATATGCCATTGCCTCTGGAGGTCACCTTGTATGCAAGGAAATCTTTACCATCTTCTGATGATTATTCAATTTTGTGGCACCTCAAAGGCAGAGCTACTGTAGCATCACACCATGTTTTCTCTTTTATTTTAGGGGGAAAATCTAAACTGAGACAAGAGGTTAAATAGGTTTGCAGCGGGGGGGGGAGTGTTGCATGCATCTTCTCCAACATTTTCGTGGTCCCCAACTGGTTTGGGGTGGGTGGGAGGGGTGTGCTCATGGAGGGGCAGAGCGCACTTGCATGCATGCACAGAGATGGGGCGCTCACAGAGGTGAGGGGCGTGCTTGTGGGTTGGAGGGTCATCCGTGCATGCGTGTGGTGGGCTGTGTGTGTAGGCGGGGGGAGAATGCGGGAGGAGGGAGAGATCTTTCTCCATGGCCCAGTCCTGTGATGGCTGTGGATCAGCACTGGGCCATGGACCGGGGGTTGAGGACATCTTGATGTAGAGCAACAATTTTTTTCTTCAGATCCCCAGATAATACCATGAGGTGCCATGTGGAACTCCAGTGACCAGTCTGAGAGAGTGAGAGCGATAACACCTGCTCCCTCTTCACACCTGAGACTTGTGACACTAACGGGTCTCCTGACACCAGGGAGGGAAGATGGCTACTTGGGCCCAATTTGGACGCTGTCACTTAGGGGTATACTCACTTTTGTTGCCAGCGGTTTAGACATGAATGGCTATGTGTTGCATTATTTTGAGGGGACAGCACATTTACACTGTTATACAAGCTGTATACTCACTGCTTTGCATTGTAGCCAAGTGTCATTTCTTCAGTGTTGTCACATGAAAAGATATTCTGAAATATTTATGAAATGTGAGGGGGGTGTACTCATGATATACTGTAGATCAGTGGCTTGAAGTGGCTGCTTGCAGAGTCAAGGAGAGGAAGTTTGTATCCCTGCCTCGCTTCCCACGAATGGGCGCACCTCAGACCACTTGCATTGTGTGTGGTTGATGGGGAGTGAAAGTAGGTGTATCAGGCAGTGATGTCCTGCCCCCACTCAACTACCTCACTCTGTGTAAAGGATAGCCTGTGCAGCAGCCTTCCCCAACCTGGAGTGTTTCTGAGATACTGGACTGTAACACCTGTGATCTGTAGTCAGCATGGCCACTGGACATGCTAGTTGTTGTTGTTGATGATGATCATCCTCTTAGTTCAACAGATCTGAAGGCAAAAGAGTGAAAACGTTTGTAAAGTTTGTTTACCTACCAATGTTTCATTTCATGGCTTTTGTTTGAATTTATGTATTTATTTATTTAACTTATATGCCGCCCACTCTACCCAAAGGTCTCTGGGCGGCTCACAACAATCAAAATTCAACTAAAATAAAATAAAAGATAAAATGATTAAAATACAATTAAAATTGCCATCAGGACCCACAGTTGATATTATTTCAATTGAAAGCCTTCTGGAACAGGAAGGTTTTGACCTGGTGCCGAAATGTCATCAACGTCGGCGCCAGATGAATTTCAGTCGGGAGGGCATTCCATAGTCTGGGGGCAGCTGCCGACCGTCCCTCTTACCTCCTTAAGGGATGGCTCTTTCAAAAGGGCCCCCTGGCTAGATCTTAACTGCCAGGTAGGTTCATATGGAAGAAGGCGGTCCTTCAGGTATACAGGGCCCAAGCCGTTTAGGGCTTTATATGTCAAAACAAGCACTTTGAATTGGGCCCGGGCAGCAACTGGTAACCAATGTAACTTAAAGTAAAGTAATTTTAATGTAATTTTAAAGTAAAGAAAATCTTCTGGGGCTGATTTCTGCTTCTAGCTCTACTTCAGTATTGTTCCTGCATTTGTTTTGAATACAGAAATAGCTACAATTCTGTGTTCTTAGCTGATTTTGTATCAGTCATAGATGCAAAGTTTAAATTCACAACTGTTGCTTGAACTGAATTCTGTTTCATCTTTTATTCAGCACCTCTGAGATATTGGAGAATGATGTATATGTACCGGTAACAGTAGCTGACCCGATCAGTATATTCTATGAGTTACAGGATTGTTATGGAAATCTAATTTATGGTACAGTAGAAAGGCTTCTCTAAAGCTATGTTCAGTAAAGCTGACAAAGGCAGTTTACAGTTTTAAATTCTCCAAAATCTAGACTCCAAGGCTGGTGGGAGTTCATGATTCCTGATACAGGGGCTGCTATAATGGAAATTTATTGCAATTAATTTAGAAAATAGAATATATAAAAAAGAAGATGACAAATGAAATCCTTTCTAATTGACTTCCATTACATATTGATCTTGTCTTTTTTTAAAATTTAGATAAAAGATGTATTCTTTCGGCAGCTTATATGGACACTACAACATGGGAGCAAAGAGAAAAAGAACAGCACAGGTTGGGTAAGGACATTTGTTGTTCATCTTGAATATCTGCATTCTCAAACAATGATATAATTCCTTTTATAGTTTTATCTTTTTAAAAAAAGTGACCAATAGTTTCCAATAAGTCTCAGGATAAAATCTGACACGTCTGCATCAACTGATGTGCCATTTTATTGTCTGCTGCCTCCATTTCATCTCAAGATAGCACACAAACTACAGGGACTTGGAATCTACCTCATAGTTTCGTAATGTCTGGCTTCATGAAGAAATGGCAATCTAGTGAGTTTGCAGCACACTATTTTTGGTAGCTTTTTGGTACGAACTAGCAAAGCTATTGAATTTTGGAAAGTAGGGTGCTTGACATGTTCAGAGTGGTATATTTGAGGAAAGAGTGGGGATAGATTTATATCCTACCATTCAGTTCAAGATGAGTAGCTGTGTAGTGATGAAATCAAAGAATCTTGTATATCTGATAACACATTTGGGAAATAAGGCCATTGAAAGTGACATCCTTTTCTTGTTTTTTTCCTCAGTTTCCCCATAAATATCATATTGTGCTATCAGGGCTTTTGTGTTGCTCGACAACAGCAGGGGAGGGCCCAGCTTCATAACATTGGGACATAGATTAATTATTATTTTACATCATAGAGGAAAAGAGTAAGGACCTCGAAGACTAGTATTGTTTGTTCTGACTGGAAGTAGCTTTCTTTTCATCTCAGACAAAGGTCTGTCATATTGTATGACAGGATTTGAATCAGGGACATTCAACATGGAAAGTTTGTGCTGTTCCATTAAGTTGTGGTCTGTCCTCATGACTTAAGGATGCTGTTCCTGGTGGGAATCCAATGTTTTTAATCTGGAGCTTCATCAGTGACTGACAAATTAAACGTTCCTAGACAAGAGCCAGCCTTATCAGATGCAAAATAGGGCATCCACTGAAGATCTTAAACCTTGCAGTGGATGATAAGGTAAAATACTTTCTTCATACAGCCTGTGGATAAATAGCATATAAATGAATAACTAGGCCATGGAGAAATTGCCTATAAATACATTATACATTAAAAAGAGTAACAGTTCTTTTATTTGATTTGGTAGAAATATCTGCAGTTTAGAAACTGAAGTCTGGCAACATCTATTCTATGAACACAAGATGGCACTGTGTGGTAATATTCAGTCCAGAGATTTATTAGTTTTACTGCAACTGGTCCCTCAGGGAAGCTTCACATTCATGCATCAAAATAAAGTCTCTGAGTTTATGTTGCAGGGGGTTAGTAGTCGTGATGGAAGAACTGGTCTAGATGAAAAAATCATACAAGTGTACAGATTGGTTTTAAAATTGCTACTTTTTTAAACATTAGAGACAATGTTTTGTCTGAAATGGTCATTAGTATGCATGGGTTTTCCTTATGACTGTTTAAGCACCATTTTGTTTGCATCCATAGCAGCATTTTGTTGTTATTTTAAATAACATTAAAAAGAACCGTGCTTACCAACAGAGTGGTAAAAAGTCAGTTTTAAAGGAAATTGAAAACATGTTTTGAAACTGGATTTAAAAAATTTGAATCATAGTGCTAATTTTTTTTAAAAGCTCCATCTGATGATAGCTATAATTTAAAATGTGATATCATTCACAGATCTAATGATAGAATCAAGACCCTAAATTCTAATTCTGTATTATGAGACATTGTTTTTTTAAAAAAAGTTGTATATATAGGGTCTGACAGTTCCTTGTTTAAGGCTTTAGTTTTATGGGGTGTCATGGGCTTCTTTCTATTTCCCTAGTACTCAGTTCAGTTGGTAGCAGGAGAGCTTGAAATTCTCAAACTGAGTTTGTATCTCCAAAGATATCTGCTTCACTGAGCTCCAAAATATTCTGTTATAAACAGCCCTGCTCAGTCTTGCAAACTCAAGGACCTGGCTTCCTTTATTGAATGAACCATGAGAGATCTAGGTTGTGGAAAAAGGAAACAGAATTTTACCCATTGTGCCAGTAGTTAAATTTGCAACTGTAGGTTATAGTGATGGCTACCAGTGTAGGCAGTTTTCTAAGAAAATTAGAAAATTGCTCATACGAGTATGATGACATTGTATGTGGTGGGTAATGTTATATGCTGCCCAGAGAATTGGATATGGACTGAAATCAATAAGTAGTGAGTAGAATAGACCCATTGAACCAATCAGGATTTGCTCAGTCTTAAGTGTAAATTAACATCTGTGGACAATAGCCTACTATAACTGTGACTTACCACTGATTTCAATCAGAATGTGTCTGAATATCAGTCACTAAAGAATAACAGCTGGATATGTGTGATGCCCTTATGTCCTGTTTTTGACCTCCAAAAAAGCTATCTGGTTGGTCACTCCAAGTAACAGGATGCTGGCTTAGATAAGCTTTTGATCATCTTACTTTTTAATGTAGAATCTGCCTCTTTTTCATCTTTCAAGCAACCAAATTATGTAGAAATTATATTTTACATTGCATTAATGTATGGCAAGCTTTAGTAATTACTAACAGGAATATAAAATGGTATGTTCTTTAATTCTGGGCTGATGGATTCAATGCATTTTTGCCATTTCTTTTATCTCCTCAAAAGATTAGCATTATTTACTGGTTTTCAGTGACTTAGAATACCATATGTCTACAAAAAAAATTTCTGCATCCCCATTGAGTATTGTCATCTGTGAAGAAACTACCTGCAAACTGTCCTTACGTTGGGAGTTTTTACAATGTCTATTAAAAACCGAATTGTGAGCACTGATTTATTTCTAAAAGGATACCAATCAGCTATCATACAGTAACCCTTTATTGATTTGTGCTGACCTGAGCTAGATTTGAAACAGCAATTTTGAGGAGGTGAAAAGCTTTGTCTCTTGTTATTATTCCCTTGAGCTACATATTTGTAGAGAGCAGGGATTTTAATCTCTATGGACAGTTTTAAGGTGAATTTCATCAATATGCAATCCTGAATCTCATTACTTTAGAAGCTAATGCTTAATACCGGATGATTTCCCACCTGAGTTTAGAATGAAGTTTCTCTTTGGCTCACCAACTTACCACCTTTTTGTAGCAGAACAATATATGGCATGTTCAACTTCTATCTGTCATGACCACTATAAATGGCTAGGTATGCAAGACAAAGATGTACCACTTTTTCCAGAGAACTTCCAGCAGCTTTAAAAAGGCTACTCAGTTCCTGTTTGCTTTTGAACCAGACTATTGGGCACACTATCCTCCTCCTCCTATTGGGCAATATGAAATGAAGAGAAATTGATTGTATTAATAGTAGGGGTGCTTAAGAAATGTGGTATTTCTGGATTGGTATATGAAATACACTGATGCATTTGTCTGCAAATAACCACAGAATTCTGGCATGGCGTATATTTACATTAGCATAAAAGTGCCCAGCGCTACACTCAACAACAAAGAATTATACTATGGGTTTATGCAATTGATTTGTGTCCCTGGAACAACTGAAAATGCAGTGCACCAGCAGAAGTGCTTCAGAGATAGCACTTCTGCCACTATTGTAGCACAACTACTATTTATAGTAGGATTTTGGCCAATAAGTTCCACTGAACACAGAAAGGTGTAACCATTGAGTATCTATAAAATCAAGGGAGTAACAATGACAAATACTTTGGTGCTCTTGCTCAAGCTATGCTATGACTTACAAGCTGGAGAATTTATTTGAGAGCAGCTATGTTTTTTTTAAAAAATCTGTGAAATAAGCTGCCTTTTTAGCAGGCATGCTGTTCTGTTTATAAGCTGCTATTCAGCCGTATAGTTCCCAAAGCCAAGTACAAAAGTCAAGCAGTAAACCCAATAAAATAATTCAACCATAAAAACAGCAACAATAAGGCACATTTAAAAGCCAGTGGGACACTGTATAAGCACATGCAGCCAAGAATCAACAACTTTTAACGCTTGTGAAAAACAACTAGAAACAAGCTTCTGGCACTCGTCTAAAAAACCAAGGGTATGTATTATGTGGGGTTCTTTCAAAGGAAGGTTCCAGAGGACAGGAGCCAACTACTGAGAAGGCACCATTCCTAATAAAGTACAATCTTGGCTTCATTAATCATGGACTTACAGTAGGATATTTCCAAAAATCTCATTAGGTTCATATGGGAGAAGATTATGTTTCCTGAAATATGCCAAAATCAGGCTCTTCTGAAAGGTGGAAACCATCCCACTCAACATAGCTAAAAACAAAAACAAATGGAAGCTGTTGAAACTCTGCATTGTGGCTCCAAACTAGAATATGCTGAGCCAGCTGATATTTCTGTATTTAGGGGGAACCCTATGCATTGTAGTAGCCTGTTTTAGTTTTAATATTTATCAAGGGCCCTGTCATCCTGAATTCTGTTTGCATTGTACAACAATCAAAACCAGTGAATATATACCTGCCCACAGTTGACTCTTGAAGGGTCAGTTCTAAAAGGATTTCTAAGCTGATGACCTTATCTTCCCAAAAGCTCCATTTACTTTGTCATTTTCTTTCCAACAGTAATTTTTAAGAAAAAGAAAGTTGGCTTCTATCCACTTTCATTGTGGGGAATAGCGCAGGCCATTGTACATCTGGGTTGCAATGTAATTGCCTTCCAGACCCAGCAAAGTTGCACACTGCTATGCTGACTCCTGCAGGTTATCCAGAAGGTATATATTATACTGTACATTACAAAAAATGTCCTCAGTGGTCCTAAAGTGTTAAGAGAGTTGCACTCCTGTCTCTCGCCTACCAAATATTGTCATGAGAGCAGCCCAAACAATCTTGACCAGCAGGTAAACAGAAGTGAATCTAGAAATTTGTTTCACTCAGAAGGCTGACATTGGCAAGTAGCAAGCTGCTGCATTGCCTTGGCTAGATCGGATGAATTAGAAATCTACAGTTATTCAAATGTTCTTGATGAACTCCAGAGTTCAGGACATGCAACAATGGACTCAAGTTACAGGAAGCCAGATTTCAGTTATCAGGAATACGAGGGGGTGCTGATAAGTATTGAGCCTTTCCCAGAAA